CTCTATTTTTTATATATTTAACAAAACTATCATACCATACTCTAGGGCCTTCTTTAAGACCATAGAGAGCCTTTTGCAACTTGTAAAGTTTATTATCTCCAGTTTCATATACTTCCGGTTACAAAAACTTTTGACTTTACATGTCCATTTAAAAAAGCGGTCTCGGCAACCATTTGTTCAATATATAAATTATTTTTACAACTGTATTACAACAAAATATTTAATGTATATAATATTTTCAATGAATTCCTTCTGACGAAATCCTCTTACAATTGATCTAGTTTTATACACATTATAACTTTTCTTTTTAAAAACCCACTTAATATCTTTTCTGTCAACATTTTGCCAAGTATTATTTTTAATTAAGCTATTTATTTAAGATTTTATTGCCGCTTGCCATTGTTTATAATTCATCGCCTCTTCAAATGTATTTGGTACATTTGCATCAACATAGTTTACATATATATAATGCGTAACTGGATTATCATATTTAGACACTAAAGTTCTTTTACTTTTAGGAGTTTCTACTGGTATAAGTTTATCCATATTATAATTTAAATTATCATTATTCGTCAGATTTTTACCTCATCTGCATCTGCAAAACTTTTAACACTTTCATAACCTGTTTTACACATTTCGTTTGACATATTTGAAGTGCATGTGCAACTTAAATTATTATTATCCTTTATTTTTAAGTTTTTCTAAACATTGAAATTAGTATTATCTTCTACTACCTGAACATGTCTATCATTTATTATGTTGTTATTTAATATTAGTCTATAACTTTTTTCATTATAACCAACTAAAATTCGAGTTGACCTTTATCATCCCATTTACTATTTCTTAAAACTTCAGGAATTCTGAAGAAGACTCTTCTACCATATTTTTTTAAATGTCTAAACCATCTGCCTATATCCATAGCAAATCTATTATATCTTTCTGCTTCCATTCCATTTAATTCATGGACGTTGCCTTTTGAGTATAAAAGTATATTTATCCTTATTAAGATATTTCTTTCAATTATCACACTGTAATTTCTTATATATAGTAAATTTATTTTCTTTTAAATTTATTAATTCTTTTAAGCTATCAGCAGTTTTAGATTTACTTTTAATACGGAAAATTGTTGTACATTTACTATAGTCATCAATAAATGCAAAAAAAAAAAATTTTTTTCACCCCCCATATCCAATTGTGTTATACAGACCATTTAAATCAGTATGAATTAATTCAAAAATTAAAGAAAAGGTACATTTGACATTTTACTTTGAATACAATTTGAACATTTTACCAGTTCAATCTTGTCTGGCAAACCATATACTAATTTATCGTTTATACTTATTTAAATATTGAAAGTTTACATGACCAAGTGCCCTATGCCATTTCTCTTTATGAGATAATTTAATTGAATGTGCATATGTTTCAATTTTATAGGTGTTTGATACATAACTCTTAAACCAATGCAAATCATTTTATTTATTAGCAGGTGCGGTTGTAGTCTTATTCTTCTCTTTTATTTTAGATTGTACATAATCTACTGTTTTTTTTGTTCTGGAATCCCCAATGTAGCTATAGCTTGGTGGAAGCGCTCTTAACAGATATCTTGACTTTTCAGGTTCATCAAGTTTTCCTTCAGCCATCTTATTATCATTTATTGTTCTTTCAAAGTACTTAAAAGATCTTCTACCGTATTACCTTTATAATTGTCCAGTCTAATCTCTTTTTCCACTGCATATTATTTGCAAAGCTAGTGACTGAGTTAAATACATCTTGTCAAACTTTATTATCATTTCATAAGCAGTTTTACACTCGCTGACAAATTCAAGTTGTTTATCGGATAATATACCCATTATAATAATCCTTGCTTTTAAGTCTTTCTTTCTCCATTCGACATTTTTGTTTTGTTTTAGCAGTCACCGGCATCATGCAAATGGCTACCTTGTGGCATTTTTTGTATTCCAATCTAACCACTGAGCTACCCAAGAACTAACGAGACTGACGAATTTTTCAAGCACTTGTTACTTTTTCGCTATTACAGCGCTCTGTTTTTCATAGATTTTCAGGCAATCCTTATTCAGGTCCCGAGTTGCGAAATGTCATGGATTCGAGATCCATCTCAGAGTGCCAGGGAATAAGTTAAATTTTTTTTTAATTTCTTTAAGTATAGTTTTCAGTATAGCATTGTGAATGTAATATTTATCAAATAGGTACGAGTATAATAATTTAAATATTTTTTTTCACTAATTTGGAATATATTACACTCGAATAAATGATATTTAAAACAAACATATATGCAATTCTAAACATAAACTCATAATTAACAAAGACATATTACATTATGTGTATGAATTATAAAAACGTTTTTTGGGCTGCGCGTTCTTTTTAACTGACTCAAAATCCTGCTCTTTCCATGCATGATCTGGAGTTCTATTTTTGATTCGTCCATTTAAAATCTTATTGATGTCTATGACTTGAATCATACTTGATTTCTTCACGCTTTTTTTTGCATTTTGAATCTGTTTTCTAGATACTGCTAATATGATGCGAAATATTAAATTTACATTTGTTTCGTGTAAAAAAAATAAAAGCCGATAAAACTTTTTATGATTCATAAAGAGAAAAAGTATTTATTTCAAACAATCTCTCTAGCTTTATGTCTTTTCTCTAAAATTAGCATGATGTTACACATATTAGAACGGAATACGGATAAACTAAACTTATAAAAGTTCGCGTTTCAACGTTGACAAACAGTCAATCACTCGCTTACTTCATCGATCCTACGCGTTGCAGTCGAGGCAAAGAATATATATGTTACCGGTAATCTGTATAATTCAGGCATTATAGAGAATACCCAGGAAATATCTAGAATACCCCGGGCCTTTAGAAAATGTATTAAATATAATACATAAATAATATATTTATAGCTTTTTAATATTCGTAATATTTTATAAATTCCGAGAATGCCCCGGGTATTCTAGATATTTTCTCTAGGTATTATTGTATAGATGACCAGCTATTCCAACGTCAATGTGTCTAAAATTTATCAATGTTAATTATCAATTTATAATCATTTAAGATAATAATGTAGATCATATTATATTATACCTGTGGGTCACGTGATAGATTAAATTTCTAGGTTATTTACTTTTCAGACTACAGAAATCACGGGGCACTCAACTCTGTGAATTTTAATTATTATTGAATATTTTTGGCTAATTATGGAACGCTACATGTGTATTGCTTTCATGCCCACACGTTGCCCCTTCCTTGTTCTTATTTTTACATACATTACCGGCTGCGGTAACGTATGTTAAAAATAAAGCGGTAAAACTTAGGGAAACTATAAAATAAATATTTTTTCATACATTACCTATACGTTTCAGGTATTGTATACGTTACCTAGGCATTGTTTAGAATAACGGAATATACTGATTACCGGCAACGTATACACATACGCGTCGAGGGAAAAAGAAATTGCGTATTTCTTATGTCGGATGTAAGTAAGTACACGAGCGTTAGACGCGAATCGAATGATTTAAACTAAAGCTCCTGAGCGCGTTGGATCGTCGTTAGATCACTGGGTGTGGATGTGGCTATGGAGCACCGGAAAACACAAGACATGGTATTTATGGATATAGCTTATCTATCAGAATGGATCGCTCCGAAGGTGGCGAAAGAAAGAAATCATAGATTTTGTTTTTGTAAATCGCCCGTTCATCAGAATTATAATTGCAAGGTGTACAGCAAATTCATTTGCATGGTGTAAAGGAAATAACTTCATCCGCCTTCTTCGACCCTGCTATAGAATCACAACACACTTGTTTCGCCTTCCGCGGGCCAATTCTGCAAATTTTTATTTAATAATCTCATCTCACTAGAATCTCAACTACTTACTAATTATTATAGAGTAGCTCGGTGGCGTAGTGAATATGCACCGAGGCACGCGATCGTTGTCGTTAAGTAACTTTCGCAAGGGTCGGTCACGGGATGGGTGACCAAAAAAATATTATCTCGAGCTACTCCGTGCTTCGGAAGGCACGTTAAGCCGTTAGTCCCGGCTGCATTTGTAGTCGTTAATACCCACCAACCCGTATCCCACAATCCCAGCGTGGAGGGTCATGGCCGATGCTTCTTAACCATCCATAAGGAATACCTGAGCCCCTGCAGTGGGGACGAAATAAAGGGCTGATTATGATGATGACTATTTACCTGAAGTCGAATATTATATATATATTTGTTAGCATTGATGTGTGAGGAAGATATTGTACTAATAATTTGGACTTTAGGTAAACAATACAATAGTGAAATACAAGTCGTTGAGATTCTATTTTGATGCAATTATTACCTGAGTATTAATTAGTAAAATTGACCTGCTCGAAGTTCACAAGTGTTTAGATCTGCCTTTGATGTTTTTCTCGTTAAAGAAAACCAAATCGCTTACTTAATTGAATACAATAATCTCACCTCATCTTCTCCAATTGGTGAAGTAATTCGTGAGGAAGATTATCGTGTCTAAGATTTTCCGTAAATTTACCGAATTATGTTGATGATGATTGGAAAGCAAATATCAGGCTCTCTGCGAGCTTATTACATGCAAATCACATTCATTTGAAGCCGGTGCGAATGAATAAGTCAATATAAGACAGCATCACATTCTACGATCAGATCCTAAAGTTAAAGCTGTTCTGTAATGGAATTCTGTAACAAGCAATATGCGAAACTCTCTCAAAATATAAATGATCAATTTCAACATTGACCCATCGGGCAACCTTACCCGAGGTCATAGAGGCCGTGACTCGATAATTGCTCGATCACGTAGGTCATTAATTATGTATTTAATTATTGACAATGTATACACAAGAGTAATTTTCTAGCATAATCGGTTTAAAACTTCAACATCTGTAATGAAGGAGAGAAAGTCTCTTTTCGCCACCTTATTAGTGTCCCTATAGCTGCGGCACAAGCCTTCCCTATAAATGCAATAGAATCAAACAGGGAAAATGGATCATGACCCACGGGCTCAGTGCAAATTGGTTGGTCTTAAAAACTGCACATGGAGCCGGGACCAAAGGCATGAAGTGCTTTTCAAAGCGGAGGACTTCAAAATGATATATTTATTTAAGGAAATTTATTTAAGGACAGCCATTTTATCACCAGTCCTTAAGAAAGGTGCTTAACCATCTGCATCGCAGACGGAACGCACTAACCACTGCGTCATGGAGGTTAACATCGGCACTTATTTATTTCCACATAATTTTATATTTGACCGGTAGGAGGCCTAAAGCGTTAATTTTGAATTTATAATATTGAAGATCGAACACTTTTAATTATCTATATAAAAAAGTGTAGACAACATCTATCTTAAAAATAATCTGAATTTAAAAATAGATATCAAAGAACTACATATACATTTGTGTTTAAAACTCAAATTAAGTTATGCAACTTTTACATTGTAAATCATTGCCCGCATAATATATGAATAGGTTAGCAGCTTTAGAGTGTCGGCTTTCCATGCTACGACATTATTTTTTTGCTGTCAGTTCAGCAAAGCACCAGCTGTTCCAATATCTAATAGAAAGCATGAATATACTGAGAACATAAATAACGGGAACTTTTACTTGCAGAATCTAGCTAGTATTCTATCAAGCAGTAAGAAATATGGTCCGCCAGATAGCATACACCGTCAGAAGCGGAGGAAATTCACTGAAACACTACTTCTGAGGCGGTGTTCACACAACTGTAACGTGGTAGATGTGAGTGTATTATTATTTTTGTTTACAATTTTAAAAAAACTACAGTTATAGTGAAATGAGAAACATGCCAAAACTATCCATTCCTGCTTCTTTACGTTCTTAAAGAAAGACACTTTTTATTTTAATATTTATTCAATCATTTATTTAAGTCAAATTCTCATTAATTTATTTAATATACAGTTAACAGCCAGTAAATAAATTGATATATAGTAAATAAAGCATCAAAATATTTAACTACTGTTATTTTAATGTTAGTCAAATAACATTTTTCGATTATTAATTATAAAATCAATTAAGACTATCTTCCGAGCAATCACTTGTATTTTAGGATGCATCCGTACAGTTTTTAATCAAAAATCAAAAAAAGGGATACAAATTTATGGCTCCATTCATTTTGTTGTAAAAAATGTTTTTTTTGTAAGTATTGATACACATACAATGACAATAGATAGATAGTAAGAATATTTTTTATTCTACACACAGAACAAAATACATTGATATATAAAAACAGACGACACAATTGGTGGCCTTATCACTAAACATGAAAGATCACTTTTAGGCTATATTATATATACAGTGATAATACGAGTTTTTTAAGAGCAGTCGCATAAGTCTTATCAGTGCAGATTACCCTGTTACGGCACTGGCAATTCTAATACGGTTTTAAGTTTAATAATGCGCAGTAGCACATTTTGGGTCTCAATTGAGGTGCGGGGGTGACGCGGTGTGTAACTACAGTAACGCGGATAGTCTACGGCTTTACTTGCGCGAAAAACCGCCATTTTGGTTTAACCTACGCGTCGCGCATAAATAATGACCCTACTATACCTAATACCATAAACAATTATAGAGCCATTAATAAACAATGTTTAACGTTAGGGTAAATTTACGCTACAATAATGATTTTAGTATATGCAAAGAATGAACAAACTTACTACCTCCTAGCAATAATATTGCTCCGGAGAACGTCGTTCTAAGTTAACCTTTGCTAAGTCTCTGTTTAAAAAATATGAAGTTTGACTAATACTAAGTGCAGTCTCAGCGTAAATTTACTCCAACGCCAAACTTTATTTATTAATAGCACTGTTTTAATTTTTATCTTACGTGGAAATAGTTGAAAATATCTTAGTCTCAGGTGCCTGAATTGGTATTTGTATTTCAAACGCCAACCGATTGAACAACCCAAGGGATTTCGAAGCACTTGTTACTTGTTACCAGTAAGCGCATTCATCAATGTTCGGATGCTCGAGACTATCGAAGTTTTAATGTACTTTTCCAAGAGATACGAGTTAATATAAGAATAGCATTGTGAGTGAAAATTGCTTGAATATAAATTTCCATTAGAGCTATAGCACGAATTTAGCTATATGGTTCTTCTGCGAATGCTACAACGCGTTATGAGCGATTTCGATTTTTAAGTGTAAAAATCAAGTGAATAAATTTTAAAGATTTGTATAGCCCGGTGTGCTGTTGGCTATACCATATTTATTTTATTCGATTGGTCAATGATTATTCATAATATGCATCCGTGGTACTACTGTAATTGGAAATATAAAAATATGTATATTCCCAATCACAATATTTTTTTATTCTTTATTGCACAAATAAAAATGTACAAAAGGTGGACTTAGTGTCATGAGGCATTCTTTGCCAGGCAAACGAGGAGTTGTAGCAGACAGCTCTATTCTTTTAAACAGAAAAAAATCATCAAAATCGGAATGACGAAAATATCGACGTAGATTTAGGTAGAACTATCAGTTAAATTGATAATCTGCTGCTATTTCAAAGTCAGTTCAAAAGGTTAATCAAATAGTTTGAAATCAAACCAGTCTTTAACATCATTGAATTAGTTTACAACGTGTTCATAATTAGCATGAAACTCGATTCACACTATAGGGCTGCTCTCGGTACACTCGAGATCCGGTAAAATATTTTGTATAGGAGATACAAAAACTATTTATTCACATTGTTTTTTAACATTTGATATTAACAATATTTTATGGAAGCGAGTTAGGAACTGTCACAACTTGTATTGATATTTTGTGACTACACTTTAATCCGTCGTCGTGCAGCTAGACAGGTGTAAGTGACTGTAATAAAGAAGTATATTATTTAAGTTATAATATATATTAATGTCACCATTAGTATTAATTACTTTGCATTAGTGTAGTTTATATACAAATAAATAGCTTAAGGATTTCATTTTACATATTTTTCTTAACTTTTATAAACACAGTTTAATTCATTAAATAAACCCACTTTTAAAAAGGTATAAAGTGTTTATAATGGAGAATTCAAAAATATTTCACAGATAATGCCAAAAAACGAGATGTGATGCGATCAGAACCTAAATGGTAAAGTAACTACATATATGAAAAATCTCGGATAGAGAAAGGCCCTATAGTGTGAATCAGCACTAATTATTTAGTCCAGTCTAGGATTTATATTGGTAAAATCAATTTGGGATAAATGGGCGGACGCTGTAACCAGAAATACAGTCCCCGCTAACTTGATTACAAAAGCTAACGAATCTATTTTAAAATCTTCTAGCGATATTTAAAATGTTATATGTAAACCAGTATTCTGTTCATATGCAAATGAAAGACTATTATTACTGTTATGAAACCGTTTAAAGTACTGCCCTTTTTTCTTCATTTTTTTTAAGGCCCTCTTTTACCTCCGCTTATGCTCCCCTACAAATACGCATCGAAGTAAAGTCTCGTTTTTTTCTCTTGATTTCATACATTTTAGTACACAGAAATAAAATACCAATTCAGTTTTAAAAATAAATCTTTTGTTTATTTTAGATTATACCAAAACCAATTTTGTAATTAGTTAAGATGATTTATAAGGCTTTCTAATCAACTGATTATAGATATTTTTGTGTTCACCACACAGTAATGAACTGATTAAAAGGTGATTATATTGCCTTATATCATTATTTGATGTGTCTTGCATGGCTTCTATAAGTTATTCATAATGTTTAATAGTTTTTTAGAAATGATTATGCAGTCAGAGTTAATTTTATAATGGATATATTACTAAATAATTATATTTTTAACTATTTATAACAGGAAACAAACAGGATACTCACCTAATACATACGCAATACTTCTGTTCACCACCTACATGTTTTTACATTCTTCTTGTTCTTTTTAATTATTGGCCTGTCTAGATAGATTGATTAATGTAAGAAAATTTTGCGTTTATCCATTTATCCAGTATATGTAAAGAAAGTATTATGCAGAATTTCCTTGATAAAGTTTTAAAACCAGATTCCATCACTGATAACATTTGATTTTTGCGATTCTGTTTGATAACTAGTTCCATTAGGATTCTAAAAAAAGTATAATTGATACTGTAGATTGAGCTAAGTAACCTACAAAAAAGATCCATTCCAATGTTGAAAAGTGAAAATTAAAAATAAGTACAGGTAATTTTGGTAAAATCTCATATTTATTGTCTGTGGTAAAAGATATCGCGTGCAAAACAACTTTCTAATAGTGTATGTGCACTGATATTTATGCAATACACAACGAAGTTTCCCTCCCACAAGAAATCTAGACAAGTTGGTCCGCTTAAAGTAAGTTTGAACTATTGCCGGGAAGACATGCAAACTAACCACAAGTTGTAAGCTTCGGTAAAAGGCTGCATTCAGAAGATGGCCTTTAGTGAAGCTTTAGTTGAGTTAAAGTCTTTATCGTAATTGCAGTTTTCGCTGTTAAATTAATATGGAAAGAAGAATTATTTAACCGACTGACTATGAAGAAACATATTAAAAACCATTTTTTTCTGAATAATATTAAAAACCTATTTTTTTCTTCAATTTAACTAGAAATGGTTTAGATAATAGGCATTAAAGTTGTAGAAAATTTACAAAAGTATGACGTAAGTAACATTTTAACACAATATATTGCCATTACGCAAAAAAAAATCGCCTTTATATTATATAGCTGATGAATATAGATAAAACAAAATACTCATCATACGCTAAGTAAATTGGAGAAATGTGTTTTTAAGTTATGCATGAAAATTCTTTCGAATTAAAGAATTTAAAAAGCGAGCTTTACAATTTTTTTGACATAAGGTCAGATTTCCTTATTATATATTTATATATAAACAGAGAACTGACTTAATGATTAACTTTTTGCAACATGCTTCCTTATTTAGTGTAGATGACTACTATGTAGCTAGAGATTTTGGAAAGCTCCTGAAGGGGTTAAGTTTGTATGAAGTTCGAAACATGAAACTTCATTCTTAGGGTACTAATAAAGTAAATAAATACATGTTTCAGCATTTGAGAAATTTCAACCGTAAGGGGATGAAATGGGACTTGAAAGGTTGTACGAAACTTTACCAATTTTGAAACATGAAAATTAATTATTAGGCTTCCAATATAAATATTCGTTTCGGGGTTTGAAAATTTTTAACCCATAAGTGGATGAAAAGGGGTTAAAAGAATATATGAAAGTTAATTAAGCGATAAATAAAAATGCATAAAAAAATCTGTATTCGTTACTTGAAATGTCTTGAACAGAGCTTATAAATCCGGTTTCCATTTTCTCGATCGGTTTTATCACTACCGCTAATAATAGTTTGAATAGTTTTCTTCCAATACCGGGATCCCAGCACGGTATTAAGGTGCCGTTGGTTATAATAACTCTTTTTCAGTAAAAAAATTAAATATTGTGGAAATAAAACTTCATTTCATAAATATAACCACCAGCCTCAAGTGCCCCGAGATGGCACTCGGGACTTTTATTAGCATTTTTCATAAAAAAATATTTATGAATATATTTATCAAATATAATAATAACATTCATTTTTTAAATTGACATATGTTTATTATTGTACTCATTTCAATTGAGTAGCATCTGAACCTGAATAATGTTTATATTCATAATGGACGTATTTGTGTTTCACTGAAGTGCGGGTGGTGGCAGAGCGTTGCGCGTTTGAAATAACCACATTCCTAGCGTACTACAAAAGTACTAGAGTAC